GGAACACAGGTACAGAGACGAAGGCTGTCCCAGAGCAGAGGCGCTCCCCCAGCGTTCTTCTCTGTTTTGGTCGGCACCCGCGCATGCGCACTAGAGCGCAAAAGACGCGCGGTCGACGTGCGGAACGGCACTCCCGCTCGCCGGTTCGAATCCCGACGGAGGCAAACTGCGAAACGCGTGCATAGCGTCGAAATGTCTTCTCTAAATATAAAAAAATGATTAAAACATGCTTGGAACCGTTGTATAGAGTCTATAAATGATAATGAATTTGCATATTTCCAAGGCCAGGCAATGCAATAATAAATGGATTTTTCATTTACAGTACGGTTTATCTCCTGTGTCTTCATTTTATTGAGAATATGTATCATCAGTGTTTATTGAGAATATGTATCATCAGTGTTTATTGCTTTAAATTTGATATAGGACAAGAGAACAATGATACCAGTATAAAATGATGACAATTTATTTGAAATATGAAGTCAGATGTCCAGGATACAGGACAGTGCAGCATATCAGTGTGGAAAGGGCTTTACAAATAAAATACAATTCTCAGTAAAAAAGGGTAAATAAATTATTTATGTATAAATTAAAGTTACATGCTGTGTATGATTTGTTTCCCCTTTTTCTTCAGTGAAATAAATATCAATTAAATATATTGTTGTTGTGTTCTGCATCTTAGCAACAACAACATCAAACACAGCAGAAGTACAGAGCAAAATAGATTATTTAAACTACAATCCAATAATAATAATAATAATAATAATAATAAATGGTGATGCAGAACAGAGCAGTGGCACAAGGCAATCACAGCAGGCAGACACATAGTATAAGAGCTCAGCACAGATATGCATGGATACATAACACAGGGGCATTACAGTGTGAAGTACCTGTACATACAAGGCTTTTTATTTTTTTGGCAGCAACAGAGCCAGTGGCAACAGCAGATGAACCAGCACAAATGGCAGTCCGATATCTTGCGTCGCAGCTACTGGATGTAACTGATGTAACAGTGATCACATTAATGAACATACCCACATGTCCAAAATATAAAAAATAAAAAAACTTGTCAGTGCATAGAATCAGAACAGCACAGAGGCATGACAGCGTGTTATACAGGTGTGAATGGGACACACATTTTTTTTCCAAGCAGAGTGTCACTGTGCTGTAGAAGAGTTGTGGCAGGGTGGGTGGACCGGTGTTGGTAGAAAGCCTCCACACTGCGGCAAAGTCCCGGTCCTTGTGGAGGGGAAAGTCAATGTCTTTTTAAAAAAAAACACACACACAACACTGCAAACAACTATATACACCTGCCCCAGCAAGAGTGCGAAATCACTTCATCATTGCATGTGAAACAGGAAAAAGCCAGAATTACATGGGAAACGCTAAAAAGTCACTTTTAATAGTTTTGTCCATTACAGCCAAACTAAGTGAGAGAGCCACACCAAACCACTCTATAATGTACAAGTCGCCGCTGTGAAGCTTCCTGAGGCCGAAACTGGCAGATAGGTGCTTCCAGAAGAGAATGGCAGCTTGTGTGAAAAAGCTTGTTTTCTCAGCCTGAGAAGCTCATTCAGCACACTTAGTTGGAAAAACACCAAAGTCCCACAGAATTGCATGTGAAAAAGGAAAAAGCCAGAATTACATGGGAAAAGCAAAAAAGTCAATTTTAATATTTTTGTTCATTACAGCCAAACTAAGTGAGAGAGCCACACCAAACCACTTATGCATCACTTTAATTATGCCACTGTGAAGCTTTGCAAGTCCAGAATGAATTATTCTGTGGTCAAGTGTGCCCTCTTTTGTCGAAAAAGCGTAACTGCATTTGGAAGACAGAAAACCACTCTATAATGTACAATTCACCGCTGTGAAGCTTCCTGAGGTGGAAACTGGCAGATAGGTGCTTCTGGAAGAGAATGGCAGCTTGTGTGAAAAAGCTTGGTTTCTCAGCCTGGCACACTTAGGTGGAAAAACACCAAAGTCCCAAAGAATTGCACTTGAAACAGGAAAAAGCCAGAATTACATGGGAAACGCAAAAAAGTCACTTTTAATAGTTTTGTCCATTAGAGCCAAACTAAGTGAGAGAGCCACATCAAACCACTCTATAATGTACAAGTCACCGCTGTGAAGCTTCCTGAGGTGGAAACTGGCAGATAGGTGCTTCTGGAAGAGAATGGCAGCTTGTGTGAAAAAGCTTGTTTTTTCAGCCTGGCACACTCATGTGGAAAAACACCAAAGTCCCACAGAATTGCATGTGAAACAGGAAAAAGCAAGAATTACATGGGAAACGCAAAAAAGTCACTTTTAATAGTTTTGTCCATTACAGCTGAACTAAGTGAGAGAGCCACACCAAACCACTTATGCATCACTTTAATTATGCCACTGTGAAGCTTTGCAAGTCCAGAATGAATTATTCTGTGGTCAAGTCTGCCCTCTTTTGTCGAAAAAGCGTAACTGCATTTGGAACACAGAAAACCACTCTATAATGTACAAGTCACCGCTGTGAAGCTTCCTAAGGTGGAAACTGGCAGATAGGTGCTTCCAGAAGAGAATGGCAGCTTGTGTGAAAAAGCTTGTTTTCTCAGCCTGAGAAGCTCATTCAGCACACTTAGGTGGAAAAACACCAAAGTCCCACAGAATTGCATGTGAAACAGGAAAAAGCAAGAATTACATGGTAAACGCAAAAAAGTCACTTTTAATAGCTTTGTTCATTACAGCCAAACTAAGTGAGAGAGCCACACCAAACCACTCTATAATGTACAAGTCGACGCTGTGAAGCTTCCTGAGGTGGAAACTGGCAGATAGGTGCTTCTGGAAGAGAACGGCAGCTTGTGTGAAAAAGCTTGTTTTCTTAGCCTGAGAAGCTCATTCGGCACACTTAGGTGGAAAAACACCAAAGTCCCACAGAATTGCATGTGAAACAGGAAAAAGCCAGAATTACATGTGAAACGCAAAAAAGTCACTTTTAATAGTTTTGTCCATTACAGCTGAACTAAGTGAGAGAGCCACACCAAACCACTTATGCATCACTTTAATTATGCCACTGTGAAGCTTTGCAAGTCCAGAATGAATTATTCTGTGGTCAAGTGTGCCCTCTTTTGTCGAAAAAGCATAACTGCATTTGGAACACAGAAAACCACTCTATAATGTACAAGTCACCGCTGTGAAGCTCCCTTAGGTGGAAACTGGCAGATAGGTGCTTCTGGAAGAGAATGGCAGCTTGTGTGAAAAAGCTTGTTTTTTCAGCCTGGCACACTCATGTGGAAAAACACCAAAGTCCCTCAGAATTGCATGTGAAAAAGGAAAAAGCCAGAATTACATGGGATACGCTAAAAAGTCACTTTTAATATTTTTGTCCATTACACCCAAACTAAGTGAGAGAGCCACACCAAACCACTCTATAATGTACTAGTCACCGCTGTGAAGCTTCCTGAGGTGGAAACTGGCAGATAGGTGCTTCTGGAAGACAATGGCAGCTTAAATGAAAAAGCTTCTTTTCTCAGCTGTTGTTCGACGTCATCCCGAGCACATGGTTACTTATCATATGGCGAATTAAAGGCCCCTGCACGCATTTAAAGCAAGGAGACCTGTTTTGGTAAATGTGCATTAATATTTGTATCGTTTTGGCCTCCTGAATGGCCCCAGGTTTAAAAAGTCAAGTTAAAAAGTATTTAAATAGACATGACAAGGTTTTAATCAATTCAATATTTATTAGGAATGGTCAAAATATATAATAGATAAGCTGGGAAAGTGCAATGTAGCAGCAGCATTACACACAGTAACAACACACAGACATATCAAAAAAATCAACATAGAATGCAATATAAAAAATGGATAAATAACCAGTATAATTGCAGTGCAAACTAAAAATAAAAAATATAAGGTGCAGTGAACAGATGAAACATATAAGGTGCTTGGATAATAGTACAGTAAATATTAAAAAAAAAAAAAACTTTTAATGTCTTTTTAAACTCTTCTCAGCCAGCCACAGCTCCACAGTCTTCCCTTCATAGAAAGCACAGAAGTGCTCTCCCCCATATTGGCTGTGGCCAAAGTCTTTCTGCTGTGGCTGGCCACAGAGTTGGCAGATCCGCAGTTTGTGGGGCTTCCTCACTTTCCCACCTGGTTTCTCTGGTTTCTCATGCCTCTGTTTGAGGTTCCAGGCTGTTGTTCTGGGGAGCTTCTGTAGCTCACCAGGGCCAAGCTGTTCCCTGATCTACTCTTGCACTGTGCGTCCTCCAGGGCCCTCTTCCACAGCACAAAAGTATTGGCCCTTGAGGTAAGTGTGGCCACCATCGACTTTTTTTGTCTTTTGCTGCTTTAATTTTGCGCCTGTACACAGTGCAACGGGTGGGCTTGCTGGTCCCCGCCACTGGCTCTGCTGCCTGAAGCCGTCAAGGAGAGGAGCTGGAGGAGGAGGAGGAGGATGTGCAGTCGTAGTCCACTTAAATACAAATACAATACAGAACTCTGTTAGTCAAGGTACATAGAAACACAGATGCAGTTTAACAAAGTATATTTCTAACAAACCTAATGAAGTGACGTGTTTGGTTTTCCGCGTTGCTTTTCTGCCTTCCATTCTGTCCAACTAAACCCTCAGCACCCCCTGTTGTTTTACAGTGTCCATTTGAGGCCCATTCTCACCTAGTCTCTAGGTAAACCTTTGAACCTGACCCTGGGTTGACCCCTTGACCCTAGTTTTAAGTGAGGAGAGGGAATGATGTATTGTGTGACTGTTACCTGTGGGAATTTAGTGATATCAGGCACCTAGTCTAGATACCTAGTCTTCCCTATATTTATTTAATTTCTTAAAGACCGAAAGAAGCAGGAGAAAGCATTGGTTTAAAAAAGAAAAGTTTATTTAAAACAAAAACAATTAAGACAGCAATATACAACTATATAGATATATATTGGAATTTCCCCATTGTGGGACAAATAAAGGAATATCTTATATAAGACAACTATATACACAATATTTATTTAGCAAACATAATTGACAAACTAAATACACTATATACACAATATTTACAAATCCCTCCCTCCCAAACACACACACACACACACATCACACATCGGTGGGGCAGGCAGGGGCTCCGCTGCAGTCTGGGGAGTGCTGGGCCCCAGGACTGCAATGGCGATGGTGTCCCTCATCATGGCCTTGCTCCTCTGGTTGTGCCTCCTCTGGTTGTGCCTTAAAAACAGAATGTAACAAATGCACATTAGTAATCATGACATCACACACACACACTCACACAGTGCCACTTCAAATCAGATGTGAGAGAAAGGATCAGGTCTTACCATTGCGCCAGGGTCCGCCGATTGACATCATATAGCTGGATGCGGGTGCTCGTCATGAGGGCTGCACAACTATAAACATTCTCGCGAATTGTTAGATAGTCCCTCATGACGGCACCCCAGCGAGGAATCCAGACCCCGGCAATCTTCCTGCCCTCGCTGCAGTGGAGGATGCTGAGGTCCAGCAGGACAGCCTCCACAAGCCTCGACACATCGGGAGACTGCGCCGCTCCCGCCCCCTTGCCCAGGACCGCACTACATAGACAGAGAGAGAGAGGAGAGAGAGAGAGAGAGAGAGAGTGAGTCAGTGAGTTAATTAGTGACTGACAGGACAGGACAAGAACCAAAAAAAGCTTGGAAATTTATTGTGACTGCTTACCACTTCACACTATCCACACCCCTGGCATGTGAGCGTGCCGCTGGGTGGTCCGGAATCGGCCTTGGACAAGCCGGCCCTGGTGACGGGGGGGGGGAATTTGACCGCTGCCTTGTCCCAATCACTCAACTTCAGCCAGAGAGCGGTGATCTCTCTGGCTTGCCTGGGAGTGACGTAGCGGCGGTGGCGCAGTTCCACGAGGGCCTGGGCCAGGGCCACGACGTGCTGGTAGCTGCCTCCACCTGGCCCGATAACATCATCCTCCTCCTCCTCCTCCTCCTCCTCCTCCTCCTCCTCCACAGCCTGCTGCACCTCCATTTGGTCCACGCGGGTGAGGTTTGAGGACTGAAGGAGAGCGCTGTGGTGTTCGAGGAGACGAATCTCCTCTGGTTCCTCCTCCTCGAACTCTTCATCACTGCCCCCCCACCCCCCCCGGCTTCGTCCTCATCAGTCCCTCCTGGAGCGTCAGGATCATCCAGGTCCTTCTGCAGCACAGCGCCCGTCTGGGAGAACAGGTACTCCACCCCAATGAGTTCCCCTGTGGGCACACAGAGACACAGATGTTAAATGACAGACACCTAAGACAGGTGTTAAACGTTACCGTTACCTCAGACAGATTTATGACTTACCTGTGTACTCCCTGGGCATGGTGTACGTGTCGACCAGCGTGAGCCCAAGAAGCTCTTGGGTCAGCTGGTCGAAGCTGTGCTGCAGCTGGGCACTGTAGCAACGCAGCGCCGACCTCTGTCCTCCCTCGATTCTCGTTCCACCGCACCAGGCCCTCCAGCAGGTACACCTGGAAGTGTACATCACTTGCAGATTGTCCTAAGCAGAAACAAAGCAACACAGTTAGTGTGAGAACAAATAAACACACAAATACATAATTGAGTCTGTGTTGTAAACCACACATGTACTTACCTGGGATGAAGCGGCACAGGTGCAGGTGGAACAATTCCAGGGAAGTGGAGCCTCGGCCGCACCGGTAGACGGGGGAGCCTCACCCCGCCTTTGGTGAGCTCTCCCGTCTTGGTGTAGAGGTCCACTCCCGCAGGGTCCTGGATTCAGTCGAGGTGTCGGCGCAGCGTGCTCCAGATCTCCTCCATTCGGGCGCGGTCGATCAAAGGGACGCCCATGCTGTCCGTCACGTGCCAGAAGGTGTCCAGCACCTCTTGGACCAGCCGCTCCGTCTCCACTGCACCCCTGGTGCGGCGCCGGCAGTGACGGGCGAGCTCCTTGGCGGACAGCTTGACCTCCTGGGCGTCCCTCCCCTCCTCGGACTGCTTGGCTCCTCTCAGGCGGGACACGTCTTCGGCGTCCCACTCAAAAATGGCGAAGGAGAGCCTCGCCATGAAGAGGCCGTAGAGCTGATGGCTGTCGGTGGTCACCCCTCTGGCGAAACGCCGCATGAGGTGCCACACGTCGAGCCTGACGACCAGCTCGTGCCACTCGTGGAACAGCTTGGACGTTTGACACTGTCCCACGGTGGCACAGCAGTCCCGGTCCACGTACAGGACCCTTGGAGGGGCCTTCCCGGCTTCGCGGTACCATGCCATGTCGACAAGTCCGCCCCCCCTCAGCTGCGGTGAGGACGGACATGAGCACCTGCCCGTACTCATTGCCGACGTTGGTGACCCAGGCGGCCGTCCCGGCAGCACCGCCCGCAAGCTTTTTGGTGATCTGTGTGACACAGCAACACAACAACATTCAGACACATGACAAAACAAACATTACACTGGGTACACGGCACGCTGTGGTGGATAACAAAACCTACCTTCTTGGTGGAGTCCATCTTCAAAAGATCACCAAAGGTGGAAGTGACTCTGGCTCTCGTCTCGTCGAGCCTCGTCAACGTGACGTAGACGTTGATGAGCCAGAGCACTGTGGGCACCGGGTGCATGGTTGGGAGCGACGACGCCGCCAGCGGCGCAGCGCCCGGTACCCGAAGCTTGCGGAGCACGGAAAGGTACAGCATCGACCGCGCCATCCACTCTCTGGTGTGCTGCTCCACCAGAGAGGCACGGAGGCGAGACGCACTGTTGCCCAAAGTGCGCTCCTTCATGAGCCCGATCACAGCTCTGTCGCAGGACAACCTGGGAGGGGAAAGAGGTGATCAGAGGTTACTGGAGAAAACCACAGAAATACATTACTGTTGCTGTTACTGTTTACATTACTTACTTGTACGTGAGAACTGCTGGAAACTGCTCACGATGGGCCATGTCCAGCTGTCCCAAGATGTCCTGCGACCATCCCGGCATCTTCTTGTGACAGGAGCTGCATTCCAGGTACTCCGTGCCCATGAAGTACCAGCAGCTCCTGTCCAAGACCCTCCTCACCGTCTTGTAGAGGCCAGCTCCCGCAAGCTTGCCCCCACAGGCGACGATGGGGCAGCGGAGGTGGTACGCCCACATCCTGTAGGGCACCCACAGGAAAAAGGGACTCTGGAAAAAGGGGTGGGCTGTGGCGGGTGGCTGGGTGTAGAGGGGCCGGGCACCTTGGTGGGTGCCACCACAGGCGGAGTTCAGATGTGAGGACACCCTGCCCGTTGGGTGCCCTCCTGAACAGTGCCCGGCCCACCCAGTCGTGCTGCTCTTCGGGGAGCGTCAGCCTCCAGCCACGTGGTAGCAGCTGAAACACACAGCAGTGTCAGACCGTTAGTGTACTGAACACAGACACACACACACTACAACACAATATGTCATCACTGAGCATACCTGTGCGCCGGGGCCTGACCTCTCCCCACAGGTGTTGTCCTGAAGGGGACGTTCCGGTGGCTGGGAGAGAGAGAAGGGGGGCACGGCTGATGGGGCATCCCTGCACGGGTCGACCTCCATGGCGGCAGCGAGCAGGTCAGCATCCGAGGGTCCATCCTGGGGACCAACAGCGTCCAGGGGTGGTTGTGGTGGTTGTGCTGCCAGGGCTGCCTTCTCTGCATCCCGGGCCTGCACATATTTTTTTAAGTCCACCAACCTGGACGCTTTGGCTGTGGGTGCCGCCTGCCTCACAAACTGTACATAGCTAAAAAAGAGAACAGAAATGCAATGGGTAAAAAAGTCACGCACACACACAGACATACACACACAGACACAGATACACACACAGACACACACAGACACAGACACACAGATACACACACAGACACACACAGACACACACACACACAGACACACACAGACACACACAGACACACACACACACACACACAAACAAACAAACAACTTGCCTTGCCCGCTCACGGTCCGTCGACTCGTACAGGGTCTTGTAGGTCAGGTCACTATGAACACCGAACCCCACCAGCGTGTCGTCCACGCCCCTCATGGTCTGGGGACTGCCCTCGAGCATCCTACGCCTGTCGATGGCTGCCACCATCGGCGGGAACAGCCTGGCGTAGGAGACGAGGGCGTCTTTGTGCACCATGAGGGCATTCTGCTGACTAGTGCCCCCCTTTGTCTCTCTCTCCCTCGTGGGACACACAGATGGTGACTGCGTATCCCACGTCATTCTCCAGCAGCCACCGGAACGTCTGACCACGGTACTGGCCGAGCTGCAGCTCGCTCTCGGCCAGCACCTGATGGTGATCGGTGGGGTTACCTCCCTTCTGCACCACCCTGTCTCTTGCCTCAGAGCGCACCAGCTCAGGGGTCTTAACCACCACCAGGGCAGTGGCAGAGGCAGAGGCCCCCCTCTGGCGGCGGCTCAAGGCCAGCGCCTCCTGAGAGGCCCGCAGGGTCAGGTCAAGGTTTGCCTCAAAGCGGAAAATAGGCTGCATTTTCTAGAAAGACAAGAAATAAGATTTAAGTCAGTAATCTGCTACACATGCACTGTTTACATCCTACTGACAGTCTATTACTGTACTCAATGATACTGTGCCCATTCATTAACATACATTCAACATCAGGCGTCCTGTTTACACATTTAAACCATATTTACACTTTGAATTTTGACTTCAAACTGTAGTAACTACATCTACAGGGTCTAAGGAAGATAATCAGGTAGTCTGTTTAAAGATTAAATACATTGTGAGAGATCGCCAGCCCTCAGAAAAGTAGTAACTAAAATGACCTCATTCACCTCCTTGTTTTTAGCTAGCAAAATCACGGCTGGTCTGTTTACACATTTAAACCATATTTACACTTCAAATTTTGACTCCACCTCGTTGTACCAGCATACCAAGGGTCTTAAGAAGTGAGCCAAGTTGTCTCATCACGTTTTTAAAGCGTTTCCAGAGATCGTCAGCTCATCACAGCAGTGGCTAAATGCTCATTCATTTCGAACGCTTAGCATGCTAATAGCGATTTATATGCTAACGCATCTAAAGCACAGTTAAACTTTAAATATCAACTCCACACAATAGCAGTACAATATCCTAGGTCTCAACAAGTAAACCCAGTATGGGAATATTATTTTAAACACATTTCACCGATCGGTAATGACATCGGCGGCAGTCCTAACTTACGCTAACGTTACATTGGCTCGCTGTTTCACTGCTAACTGATTACTGTATAATATATAAGCTGCCTTTTCAATGTAGCACATAATTTTACAAACAATAAAGTTTGTCTAACCTTATAATATTGTGTGAATGTCCGTCCGGCCGCTCACTCAAACGCCGCTCAGTCCGAATGAATGAATGACACTGACCGTGGCTGTGGCTTTGGGGGTGGGCGGGACATGCGGCGAGCTGTCGAATCACAGCACAGCACCCAAATGGAACAGACCAATGGGGTTGACCTGGCCTTCACCCATTGGCCTGTTCCATTTGAGCATGAGCCAATGATAGCCTCTGAAATCGGTAGGTGGGGACATTTATGTGGAACACAGGTACAGAGACGAAGGCTGTCCCAGAGCAGAGGCGCTCCCCCAGCGTTCTTCTCTGTTTTGGTCGGCACCCGCGCATGCGCACTAGAGCGCAAAAGACGCGCGGTCGACGTGCGGAACGGCACTCCCGCTCGCCGGTTCGAATCCCGACGGAGGCAAACTGCGAAACGCGTGCATAGCGTCGAAATGTCTTCTCTAAATATAAAAAAATGATTAAAACATGCTTGGAACCGTTGTATAGAGTCTATAAATGATAATGAATTTGCATATTTCCAAGGCCAGGCAATGCAATAATAAATGGATTTTTCATTTACAGTACGGTTTATCTCCTGTGTCTTCATTTTATTGAGAATATGTATCATCAGTGTTTATTGAGAATATGTATCATCAGTGTTTATTGCTTTAAATTTGATATAGGACAAGAGAACAATGATACCAGTATAAAATGATGACAATTTATTTGAAATATGAAGTCAGATGTCCAGGATACAGGACAGTGCAGCATATCAGTGTGGAAAGGGCTTTACAAATAAAATACAATTCTCAGTAAAAAAGGGTAAATAAATTATTTATGTATAAATTAAAGTTACATGCTGTGTATGATTTGTTTCCCCTTTTTCTTCAGTGAAATAAATATCAATTAAATATATTGTTGTTGTGTTCTGCATCTTCACAACAACAACATCAAACACAGCAGAAGTACAGAGCAAAATAGATTATTTAAACTACAATCCAATAATAATAATAATAATAATAATAATAATAAATGGTGATGCAGAACAGAGCAGTGGCACAAGGCAATCACAGCAGGCAGACACATAGTATAAGAGCTCAGCACAGATATGCATGGATACATAACACAGGGGCATTACAGTGTGAAGTACCTGTACATACAAGGCTTTTTATTTTTTTGGCAGCAACAGAGCCAGTGGCAACAGCAGATGAACCAGCACAAATGGCAGTCCGATATCTTGCGTCGCAGCTACTGGATGTAACTGATGTAACAGTGATCACATTAATGAACATACCCACATGTCCAAAATATAAAAAATAAAAAAACTTGTCAGTGCATAGAATCAGAACAGCACAGAGGCATGACAGCGTGTTATACAGGTGTGAATGGGACACACAATGATTTCCCCCCCTTAAACCATATGACAGGCAGCAGACACACAGCAGGCCTATAAGACTTGTCAGTGCATAGAATCAGAACAGCACAGAGGCATGACAGCGTGTTATACAGGTGTGAATGGGACACACATTTTTTTCCAAGCAGAGTGTCACTGTGCTGTAGAAGAGTTGTGGCAGGGTGGGTGGACCAGTGTTGGTAGAAAGCCTCCACACTGCGGCAAAGTCCCGGTCCTTGTGGAGGGGAAAGTCAATGTCTTTTTAAAAAAAAACACACACACAACACTGCAAACAACTATATACACCTGCCCCAGCAAGAGTGCGAAATCAGTCCGGGGCTCGACCCTGGTCCCTCTCCTTCATCTCCCTCAGCCAGTCCTCCACACTCTTACCCGCCGCAGCAGAGCAAAAATGTCCACTGCCGTAACGGGTGTGTCCGGTCTCCCTCCGCTTTGGCTGGCCGCACTTCCTGCACTTCTGTACTTGTGGCACGCCGGCCCGGGCAGAGACACCTGTTCCTGGCGGTGCCGCTGCCCTCTGCTCGGCCTTCTTCCTCCTCAGCCATTCAGTTTTGTACGTAGAGAGAGGCTGAGGAGGAGGAGCAGGAGGTGCTGCCTGCACTGCTTGTTGTCCTTGCTGTCCTGGCAGCAGCTGCAGTGCAGGCAGCTGAGGGCCGGCGTGACGTGCGGCGGCCAGCGGCAAAGGGAGGACGTGTGGGGCTGGCGTTGTCCGAGGGAGCGTTGGGATGGGGGGGGGGATGGGGAGCACCCTCACACTCTGCTGGGGCAGTGAGAGGTCCAGGAGGAGAGGCTGTGTAGCTGCAAAAGGTCCCGTTGCAGCTGCTGCAGCAGCTGTTGGTGGTACGGCCAGGACAGCAGCTGAGGGGGCAGGCGGTAAAGGCGCCAGTAGCCGTCTGCACACAGACACCGGTGCTGCCACAGCCGGTGCTGCTGCCAGAGTTACCGCCGCCCTTGCCGCTGCTGTCGTCGCCTGGCCTGCAGGCACCACCGTTGCTGCTGCTGCCGGAGGACGATCCACCGCCGGTGCTCCTTGGCCCGGCGCTGCCGCTGTTGCTGTCGCTGGCGCCACCGCTGCCGCCGCCGAGCCCGCTACCGCTGGTGGTCGTCCCTCTGCTGCAACGCCTGGAGCTAGCACTGCCATCTCCTTCTCCCGCTGCGTCCTGGTGAACCTGAGAACGGATTTCAACATAGTATTTTAGTTACATGTACAATTTTGAGAGCATGTAATTCAAGCATGTCATTACCATAACATATAACACTGTCCAAAGCATCAAACATACCACAGCGAGAGGGTCCTGCTATTCAGCTCATAGAGCTGGATGGGCGCCCGAGCCATCAGCCTCTGGTGGCCCAGCACAAGGTCCCGGATGTGCTGGTACCGAAGCAGTTATGCTGTCCCACCGCGACCGCCGGGCACCGCTCACACGGGTGCCTGAGGGGCACACGCGGCAGAGCTGGATGCACACTGCCTCTACCAGCCGGCTTGCACTGGGACTGCTGGCAGGTCCAGAGGTCTGTCCGACCAGGCAGCTGCGGACAACGGACAAAAACAATGATGGATATGAGCATGCTGTGAACATTACAATAGCTCGTGTGTACGTCAGGGAAACGTGTGATGGAAGTGTAGCCTTACCGTCTCATGTTCTCCACACCAGGTATACTGGTGCGGCTAGGCTTCGCTGCCTTGAAGCGCCCCCGAGCTGGCCTGTCCCTGTAGCGGGGAGGGTAAACTACTCGGTCCCTGTCGAATTTTGACAGGGCCTCGTAGAGCCTGATTAGCTCATCTACCCTCCCCTCGGACAAGGCCGGTTCGAAACGCAACCCCACCAAGGCCGTGGCCAACTGGACCACGGCCAGGTACCCCGGCTGGTCATCTGGTCCTCTGTAGTCCTGCAGACACACAAGCAGAGACAGAAAACAATCAGTCAGATGAATGGGAGGAAAAGAGCGCAGTGTGGTGATGTGAGATGCAGAGGTGGCGTGCCTACCTCAGACGCAGGGGGCGTCCAGAGGAACAGCCGACATGCGAAGAAGGCAGCTGGTGAGGCGGGTGACTGAGTATAACTCGGCCGGGGCTGAGGGGGATCCCACCACAGCTTGAGGTCCGTGGTGAGTTTAGTCCTCCCCTTGCTGTCTGGCTGGAACAGCTCCCGGCCGATCCACTCCTGCTCTTCCACGGTGAGAGCTGTCCGCCAGCTCTCAGGCAACCGGGCCTGTGAGGAAAAAAACAACACAAACAAACAAACACACTGTAAGGAGGCTGAGTCGGTGCTACATGCAGTTTGACAGTCGACTCCACTGAGTTGTGCGTCCATGAGTACAGGTGGGTGTGTGTGTGTGTGTGTGTGTGTGTGTGTGTGTTTGTACCTCAGCCGAAGCAGGAGTGGGAGCTGCGGGCTGCTCCACATTCCTCTCCTTCCTCTTCCATCTCCACCTCCTCCGACGGTGCCGGAGGAGGTGGAGATGGAGGCGTCACCACCAGCGGGAGCGGGAGAGTCTGAAGGACCTGTACGTCAGCTTCAGACACAGTCACACACAACAAAATAGATTCAGCACAATGATAGTCATGGGACAAGACTAAGTGAGTCTGAGTGTTGATGACATGCAGTATGCCAGTGATTAGGGCAGAAGGTTTAGTGCTACAAGATGCAGCAGAGCCAAGGGAAGTAGACATGTGAAGGCGTTTAATCAAATCTACATTACCGCCACATGAGTGAGGATGGCACTACCACCTACGAAGATGGCTATATTACCTGCCAAACCTACCTTTGTCCTTCAAGCATCAGCTGTAGCGACCAGTAAATGAAACAATTACAGTTAATACAAACACACTGACAGAAGAATATATATAGATGGCAAATGTGACACGTCCAGTTTGGTGCCAGTTACCTGTTTCTATGTCAGTGGCCATCTGGACCAGTTCCTCGTCCGTCACCTCTGTGGCGTGGGGGCGGCGGCGGAACCGAGGGGCGCTGGTCTCTGAAGGATGTAGACACCGCTATGGGGGGTTGGGCAATGGTTAGTAAATCATGTACAGTGAACTGTACTCTGTTGTGTTAAAGAGAAAGAAAGAGATCTACCTCGAACTGCAGGCTGTGCAGGTGTGGTCATCAGCTTCCTGACCTTGGCCTGCAGCTCACCTGGGCCCATGGGACGCGGGCGGCGATCTTGGAGGCGATCGGCTTGTGTGGCTACAGCGCGGTGGAAGCAGCGGCCTTGCTGGGGCCACTGCTGGTGGTGGTGGGGGCGCTGCTGCTGATGCTGCGGCTGCTGGTGGGTGGAGGGGGGTAGCAGCCGCAGCTGCCGCCGCTGCCGACCGCTTCGCGTCTCGGCCCAGGATGTACTTCCTGGCGGCGTCCATTGCAGTCCCAGGGTGCAGTGTCTTCCCTCGAAGCCACTTGACAAATCTACAACATGGACGGCATCACATTAGTGAACAATAATGACATACAGCAATTCACAATCCATTGTGTGTAGCACCAATCACTCACCCTTGGCGGTCCTTATCAGAGGACTCGTACAGGTCCTTCAGGGTGTCCTCTTTAAACTTCCCAAAGCCAACAAGGGCCTCGCCCTCACACCCGGGCTGACTGGCACGAGCCCGGGCCTCCTCGTGCGCCCGGTGGAATCTTATGTGTTCAGCGAACTCCGGGTGGGTGCACGAGTACTGGGCGAGAGCGTCCTTGTTGGCCATAAGGGGGCTGTCGGAGGCACTCTTCTCCCGCTCCCGCTGGTGGCTGGCGACCAACTGTACCGTGTAGCCCACGTCGTTCTCCAGGAGCCAACGGAACGTTTGACCCTGGTACTTCCCAAACTGGATGCTGTGGCAGCTCAGCACCAGCCTGTGGTTCCCAGGGTCACCGCCCGTGGAGATGACGTGGGCTTGTGCCTCCTTCTCCACCTCCTCCGGCTTCTTGGCCCTCGCAGCAGCGGCGGCCCCGCGTGGCCCCTTGGCGGCGATGTAGGCCACCGCCTCACCAGAGGCCCGCAGGAGAAGCTGCTGCGAGGCTGTGAATTGCAGTTTTGCAAAAACCATTTCTACAATGACAAGAAATGACACAGCACAGCATTAAAGGAGCATTACAGGTTAAACTACATATTAACTGCTATATTACCAGGAATATCACACATAAGATTAATGATATACTGGTACTTCACATTCACTATTGAAACATTACCGTTAACAAACTAACATCACGTGACACAACAGGTAAATAATGAGCCCAGGGTTAGCCCCCTATGCATTGGCAGCCATTAAACAAACAGGCTTATTGTTAATGTATAAAACATACACTTAAACTTTATCTTTTGATTTCACCTGGTGATATTATAACCTTAAGGCTCTAAGGACATTAACTGTATAGTCTTTTCATACTTTAATTTTGTTTTCAGAGATCGTCACATGTTGTAATTATACTGTAGCATCCTAGCTACAGCTACGTTACATTACATTACATAATGGCGATCTCTCAAAATGTATTTAATCTTTAAACAGATTATGTGCTACAGCGAAAAGGCAGCTTATATATTATACAGTAATCAGTTAGCAGTGAAACAGCGAGCCAATGTAACGTTAGCGTAAGTTAGCACTGCCGCCGATGTCATTACCGATCGGTGAAATGTGTTTAAAATAGTATTCCCATACTGTGTTTACTTGTTGAGACCTAGGATGTTGTACTGCTATTGTGTAGAGTTGATATTTAAAGTTTAACTGTGCTTTAGATGCGTTAGCATATAAATCGCTATTAGCATGCTAAGCGTTGGAAATGAATGAGCATTTAGCCACTGCTGTGATGAGCTGACGATCTCTGGAAACGCTTTAAAAACGTGATGAGACAACTTGGCTCACTTCTTAAGACCCTTGGGATGCTGGTACAACGATGTGGAGTCAAAATTTGAAGTGTAAATATGGTTTAAATGTGTAAACAGACCAGCCGCGATTTTGCTAACTAAAAACAAGGAGGTGAATGGGGTCATTTTAGTTACTACTTTTCTGAGGGCTGGCGATCTCTCACAATGTATTTAATCTATAAACAGACTACCTGATTATCTTCCTTAGACCCTGTAGATGTAGTTACTACAGTTTGGAGTCGAAATTCGAAGTATAAATATGGTTTAAATGTGTAAACAGGACGCCTGACGTCCACGTTCAATATTAGCATAAGCTAACCAGAGAGTGCCGGCAGAACGTAATAAAACATTAACTCCATTCAGTACATCGTAACAGTACAGTGGGGTCGCTGTGTTATATCAGTACATTAATATTCTATTTATTTTGGTTTTACTCACTCTCTCTCAGATCTCACTGCTCTCTCAAATACACACGGGGATTTCTGTCCGTCGCATACGGCAGCCGGTGAGGTTAAGAGGTGGGCGTTAACGTCTAACGCTCGACAATCCGAGCTGCTGATTGGCCCAGAGCTGACAACGCTCGACTAGCGCTCGACAGCACTGGCTGCTCATTGGCCCAGAGCTGACAACGTTCGACTAACGCTCGACAGCACTGGCTGCTGCTCATTGGCTGGCATACAGAGACCATTGCTGGTCATATTGCGCGAAGAAGCAAGGGAGCCGTGCGGAGCGCCGAGGGCGGCGCGCGCAGCCGGCCCTCGGCCCCCGGTCGGCCGCATTTCCCCGGGCTCGTGTGATAAAAAGCAGCCCCAAAGAGCCTCTCCTTCTATTTCTCCCGATTATAACGCCAAAGAATTGGAACGATCCCCCCTTTCCCCCCCTTCTCTCGACATGTGTCAGTCAAAAGCTGTTGTCCTACGTCATCCCGAGCACATGGCTACTTATCATACGGCGGCGACACGGAGAATTAAAGGCCCCGCACGCATTTAAAGCGACGAGACCTGTTTGGTTAAATGTACATTAATATTTGAATGGTTTTGGCCTCATGAATGGCTCCAGGTTTGTTTGGTTAAATGTACATTAATATTTGAATGGTTTTGGCCTCATGAATGGCTCCAGGTTTAAAAAGTTAAGTTAAAAAATATTTAAATAGAGAAGACAAGGATTTAATCAATTAAATGTTTATTAGAAAGGTTAAAAATGTATAACATAAGCAGGGAAATTGCAGTGTAGAAGCAGCATTACACACAGTAACAACAAACACACACACACACACACACACACACACACACACACAATCAAAAAAAGCAATATAGAATGCAATATAAAAAATGTATAAATAACCAGTATAATGCAGTCCAAAGTAAAAATAAAAAATATAAGGTGCAATGAACAGATGAAACATATAAGGTGCTTGGATGATACAGTACAGTTGGATAATTTTAATGTTTTTTTGACCTCTTCTCAGCCAGCCACAGCTCCACAGTCTTCCCTTCATAAAGAGCACAGAAGTGCTCTCCCCCATATTGGCTGTGGCCAAAGTCTTTCTGCTGTGGCTGGCCACAGAGCTGGCAGATCCTCAGTTTGTGGGGCTTCCTCACTTCCCCCCGGTTTCTCTGGTTTCTCATACCTTCATTTGAGGTTCCAGGCTGTTGTTCTGGGGAGCTTCTGCAGCTCACCAGGGCCAAGCTGTTCCCTGGTCCACTCTTGCACTGTGCGTCCTCCAGGGCCCTCTTTCACAGCACAAAAGTATTGGCCCTTGAAGTACGCGTGGCCACCATCCACCGTGCGTGCTTGGTCACAGATGTAGCAGGGGTCCCCAGGCTGGTGCTGTGGCTTTCCCCTGCTACTTTGGAGGACTTTTTTGTCCTTTGCCGCTTTAATTTTGCGCCTGTAGACAGTGCAACGGGTGGGCTTGCTGGTCCCCGCCACTGGCTCTGCTGCCTGAAGCTGTCGAGGAGAGGAGCTGGAGGAGGAGGAGGATGACGAGGAGGATGAGGAGGCTGAGGAGGAGGAGGATGAGGAGGATGTGCAGTCGTAGTCCCCTAAAATATAAAATACAATACAGAACTCTGTTAGTCAAGGTACATAGAAACACATATGTAGTTTTAAAAAGTGTATTTGTAACAAACCTAATGAAGTGACATGTCTGGTTTTTCGCTTTGCTTTTCTGCCTTCCATTCTGTCCAAATAAAATGCTTGAATGAATTGACTGTCTGTTTTTTGCCTTTTTTTTGAAACCCCTCTTGGGGGAGACACACCTACCAGTTCGGCCCTCTGTCAGTCCGGTCAAACCCCCAAGTTCTCGCAGGAGATAAGAGCCCCCCTGTTGTTTTAATCAGGAAGCCAGGAGGTGAGAAGTGAAGGCCCCTCGGCACCCCCTGTTGTTTTACAATGTCCACTCTAAAAGGCCAATTCTCACCTAGTCTCTAAGTAAGCCTTTGAACCTGACCTGGTTGACCCCTTGACCCTAGTTTCAAGTGAGGAGAGGGAATGATGTATTGTGACTGTAACTTGTGGGGATTTACTGATATCAGGCACCTATTCTAGATACCTAGTCTTCCCTATATTTATTTAATTTCTTAAAGGCAGAAAGAAGCAGGAGAAAGCATTGGTTTAAAAAAAGAAAAGTTTATTTAAACTAAAACAATTAAGACAACTATATACAACTATATAGATATTGGAATTTGCCCATTGTGGGACAAATAAAAAGGTATAACTTATATATGACAACTATATACATAATATTAATTTAACAAACACAACTGACTAACTAAATACACTATATACACAATATTTACAAATCCCTCCCTCCCAAACACACACACACACAAACAAAGTGTTCGCTCAGGGAGGGGGAGCTGCCCCATCACACACACTCACACACACACACACAAAGTGTTCGCTCAGGGAGGGGGAGCTGCCCCATCACACACACTCACACACAACACACACACACACACACACAAAGTGTTCGCTCAGGGAGGGGGAGCTGCCCCATCACACACTCACACACACACACACACACACACAAAGTGTTCGCTCAGGGAGGGGGGGCTGCACCATCACGCCCCTTCACCTCTGCCAGCCACTGCTCCACAGTTCTCCCTTTCCCGTCGGCCCGGGAGCAGAAGGTCTCCGTCTTGTAGCGGCTGTGGCCAAACGCCCGCGTCTTTGGTTGGCCACAGTGCCTGCAGTTGAAGTGGGAGACCTTCTTTGCTGGTTTCATATATTCTCCCAGCTCCCGGGCACGACGCTCTTTCTCCTCCTGGAGCTTGCGCCTCCAGGCAGTGTTTCTAGGCACTGGTGGAGCAGTGGCAGCTGTGGCTGTGGAGGGGGTGACACCTGCCTCTGCGCTGGCGGACGGGACGGCGTCTGCGCTGGCACTGGTGGACGGACGGCGTCCGCGCTGACACTGGTGGAGGCTTGTGGGGTGGCTGAGGAGGAGGAGGAGGAGGAGGTGGTGGCAGTTGAGGAGCTGGCGACGATGAGGTCGTATAGCTCCGGGGCCAGCGGCCCTCTGATGGTGGCAGCCAGACCAGAAGCGTCCGCAGGCAGGCGGTGCTGGAGGGGCTGGTCTGGCTGCTCAGGCTGCTGCAGCACAGTCCGTGGGGCAGGCAGGGGCTCCGCTGCAGTCTGGGAAGCGCTGGGCCCCGGGACTGCAATGGCGATGGTGTCCCTCATCATCGCCTTGCTCCTCTTGGTGTGCCTTAAAAAACAGAATGTAACAAATGCACATTAGTAATCATGACATCACACACACACACACACACACACACACACACACTCACACACACACACACACTCTCACACACACACACACACACACACACACACACACACACACACACACACACAATGCCACTTCAGATCAGATGTGAGAGAAAGGATCAGGTCTTAACATTGCGTCAGGGTCCGCTGATTGACCTCATACAGCTGGATGCGGGTGCCTGCATGAGGGCTGCACAACTATAAACATTCTCTCGAATTGTTTGATAGTCCCTCATGACGGCACTCCAGCGATGAATGCGGACCCCGGCAATCGTCCTCCCCTCACTGCAGTGGAGGATGCTGAGGTCCAGCAGGACAGCCTCCACAAGCCTCGACACATCGGGAGACTGCGCCGCTCCCGCCCCCCTTGCCCAGGACCGCACTACATTGACACACACAGAGAGAGAGAGAGAGAGAGAGAGAGAGAGAGAGTGAGTTAGTTAGTGACTGACAGCACAGAACAAGAACCAAACAAAGCTTGGAAATTTATTGTGACTGCTTACCGCTTCACACTATCCACCCCTGGTGTGTGAGCGTGCCGCTGGGTGGTCCTGAATCGGCCCTGGACGAGCCGGTCCTGGTGACGGGGGGGGAATGTGACCGCCGCCTTGTCCCAGTCACTCAATTTCAGCCAGAGAGCGGTGACCTCTCTGGCTTGCCTGGGAGTGACGTAGCGGCGGTGGCGCAGTTCCACGAGGGCCTGGGCCAGGGCCACGACGTGCTGGTAGCTGCCTCGACCGTCTGGCCCGATAACGTCCTCCTCCTCAGCCTGCTGCACCTCCATTAGGTCCAAGCGGGGGGGGCAGGTGAGGTTTGAGGACTGAAGGAGAGCGCTGTGGTGTTCGAGGAGACGAATCTCCTCTGGCTCCTCTTCCTCCTCCTCCTCCTCCTCCTCGAACCCTTCATCACTGCCCCCCCCCGCTTCCTCCTCATCAGTCCCTGGAGTGTCAGGAGATGTTAAATGACAGACACCTAAGACAGGTGTTAAACGTTACCGTTACCTCAGACAGATTTATGACTTACCTGTGTACTCCCTGGGCACGGTGTAAGTGTCGACCAGCGTGAGCCCAAGAAGCTCTTGGGTCAGCTGGTCGAAGCTGTGCTGCAGCTGGGCACTGTAGCAACGCAGCGCCGACCTCTGTCCTCCCTCAACTGCCGCCCTGCCTCGATTCTCGTTCCACCGCACCAGGCCCTCCAGCAGGTAACCCTAACCCTAACCCTAACCCTAACCCTTTCCCCCTTTCATTTCCCCTCTGAAGAAGTGCCGGCGAGGCACGAAACGTTAGGGGATCCTGCTCTGTCAGCGGAGCCGCTGCCGCTCCTTAAACTTTTTAATTAGTCTCTTTATTATTCGGAACCAGGACCCTCGTTGGTTTTTTAAATTTAAATCATTAAAAGTTACGTTTTAATAGCACCCGGTGTGAACACCTTGCCTACCTGAGCGCTTCATCCTCCTCTCCCGCAACTGTCGGCTTCCTCCTCTGTTGGATTAAAAAGAAATAAGACTTTTTCCACCCAGTCTACTCCACAGAGAACCCGGAAACACGGAACGACATGACGCAGAAACCGCAACAACCGCATGCAGCGAGATGGACGCAGGTGGGTCACACACACACGGGTGCACACAGGGCGGAGGGCAGCGGACCCCGACACGAGCGGGGTCGGGGGGAGCAGGCAGACCCGCGGCTGCAACTTACAGGACCCCCTCCCTCTCTCTCTTTTTCTTTTTCTCCCCCACACACAGAGCGGACCGGAAAGCAGACACAGCAGCACACACGGCACAAACAACACCGCACATACGAACACACACACACACCAATTAAACAGGCACTGGACACATCCACCCGTTTTGCAGCTAAACATCACTTAAAACTTATACAAGCCACACATCATCACAACAACATACAGCAGGCTTTTGAGGAGGGCGAAATTCCTAAAGGGATGTTACGCAAAACACTCCAACTGGCCAGCTTCATAAAACCATCCTCTCCATCACAAAACACAACAGACACACTCAAAGAAAACACACTCACTTGGTTATGGCAAAACATGCACATTTTATTAGCACATTACAAAGACATAATCACACATCTCCTTAACACCCCTGGCAACGAGTTGGCGTTTACAGTAGCCACACAATGGGCTCTTAGACGCTACGGCAACAGAATCGATCCAGACACAATTACATTTGCACATGATCTGCTCTTCACCACAGCCACTCTTTCTAACCCTTCCTCCCCCCTGAAATATTGTGATTCAGATGAGGATTTTTCTTTTTCCCTCCCTCCTCACCTGCCTAACACGGAGCCCTCTTTTCCTCAGCCTAACCACATCTCTCCACAGCCTCTGGACAACACCCCAGTCCCAGACTACCACTCACCTCCTACTTCCCCCCACAGGCGCTGCCCCCAGAGGACGGTGAATGCCATGGCTCTCGAGGACTGCTGTCAGCCTGGAGTAACAAAAATAATTACTCAAAAAAACAATAATGACACACAGGGCTCCCAGTCCCGCAGTAGCACCCCAACACCTACCTGCGTTCATGCAGAGTCTGGCCTGGGGTCAGTATTAAACGGCACCTTCCATCTCCCGGCGCCCGCGCCCAGATCACATCAGGGTGGGGAGAGCGCACCCACTGAGGCAGAGGCGGCTCCCCGGTGTAACACAGAATCTGTGAGGAAAAATGAAATGATGAGTAATTTAGGTCAAAAAGTCAACATGACAGACTACTATTCCAACTCTGATCTTTCCTCACCCATTCCAAAAATACACCTGCCGGGGAGACGTACCGAGCCGAGGGGCTCTCCCCACCGGGGCGCGGGCGCATGCGCAGACACAGCCTCTGACCCCACTTACCATCAGGCCAGAGACAACCGCAAGCTGCGGGACTGGGAATTCAAAATTAATAAACCAATTGCCATACTGGGGGATTCAAACATACACAGAATCCCCAAATTTAACCACCCTTTTGTCCAGGCTGACAGCTACCCGGGAGCCTCCTTCTATCATTTCTGGAAGATTCTGGAAAAAACACCAATTAACAGAAACCCAAAAGTGCTGATCCTCTCGGTGGGCCTAAATAACAGGGCTCAGGATCCCCACAACACCTCTGTGAAACAGCTCAGAACTGTGGTCAACAAGGCTTGCTCGGCCTTCCCTAATGCTTCCATAATCGTTCCTATTATCAACCATTCACCACATCTACCAGCAATAGAACAGCACAATCTGGCAATAATCAATAATCACATAATAAAACACTATACACATTTCTCAGCTTTCCCGGACCAGGATTTCATAACACAAACTGACAACATACAGTGGACTACAGAGACAGCCAGTGCTATCTTCTCCCACTGGCTAGGGGAGCTGGACAACTTAATTTCAGACCTACATGACACATAGATTAATTACAGCACATCACACACAAGATAATTCACAACACATTACATCATAGTTA